GGATATAGCTCACTCACACTGAGGACATATCCACGTCATTTACCCAGAATGCTTTGTGTGTTAATAAAATGGCTCAGTCCGTGTTAAAATATATTAAAACAAAAACATTTTGGTCTTTATTTTACAGTTATAATATATGTTTATCAAATAAAGTCTAATGTTACAACTAATTAGGGATCCTTTAAACACTTGCATTTGTGCAGCAGAGTGAAACAGACAGAACATGACAGTGAAATTTAGAGAGGCAGCAACTGCTTGCGAGTTGACTCTGACATATACAGACTGAAGGGCGAGTGGAAAGGAAATTTTAGGCCCATGGCAGAATGTCAGACTCTGTCKATCTGATTTTTGCGACCACGGCTGATAGGAAGCTGGCAGAGGAGATGGCCCCACACCTCCCGTATCGGAGGTCATTACTGGCACGCACGCACAGACAATAAGAGACATACTGTAAACCTGCCTTTATCCTCCAGCATCGTCCTTCTTATCAGCACTCAGACCTCTAGCAGCAGGACTGAGAGGACGTAATGCCAGTGACAGCTATGGACAATAAGTCAAAGTGGTAATTAGGCTGTGCTGGGTGAAAAAAAAAAGGCTGGAGTCTGAATGTCATTATAAGAAATCCATGCCAAGGAAAGAAGTCCCTCCTGTTTATTTTCTCTATAGAAAAACAAGGATGTCTCATCAAAGTTCAGCATTTTTTTAAGTCTTGTTTTGCATCATCTGGTAAAAAAAAAATACACAATTTTGTTCCACCATGTTTTCAGATATTGATAAAATGACTAATAAAATTAACTTGGCTCACATGCTCTCACTGTGTTGTTGTTTTCTTTCTTTCTTGCTGGAGTAAGAGTGTCTTTCAGTATGAGAGCATGCATATTCAAGACATCCACCAGCCAAACCTCCTGACCTCCTGTTGGCTGTGCTTCACAGATGGAAAGAAGAAGATCAAACACTCAAACAGCTCATCTCGACTTTTGGAAAATTAAAAAAGCTTCTCTCTTTTTTTGAGTGTTTGTGATCTCCCCACCATTAAAAAGTCATTTGCAGTTTTACTTCCCTTTTCAATAATGCTAACATAATTACACTAATTATGTTACTTCAACCTAAGGAGGCTGTGATTACTTGGTGGTCTGGGCTGTGGTTTTGTAATCCTGAGGCTGCAGATTCAAGCTCAGGTTGGGTCAAGAAGGGCATCCGACATAAAATATTTGCCAACTTTTTTTTTTACTCGCTGTGGCAACATCTGCAGAAGCGCACAGCTGAAGCCAAAAAATAACATACTGCTACAACCTAAAACAGCTAAAATAAATAAATAAATAAAATCTTTAAATAAGCCAGATAAATTGATCTAAAAATGCCTATTTTAACGTGATTTTGAGTCACAGACTACACTCAAAGAACAGATTGTTGGATTTAAATACAACAATCTGCTTTTTTAGTGTAGCCATCAATTACTGCCCATGATTAGCTTGAATAAAGGGAYAGTTCAAATCTTTTGATGATTCWATGGRARAGTTATTGACAATTAATATTTCACCTGTTGGCGTTGAGTAAAATAAAATTTAATTYTTACTAGAGATGGGATGAATGACTCTTAAGGGGATCTGGATCTTGATAATCTGTCAGTTTTATATCCTCAGTTTTGAATGAGTCATCATATGCTTTAAAATCCTTCTTTTTCACATTTAAATCATTCAGTTGGGGTCTATGCTTTGGTCTGAATTCCTCCTTATTGTAACTCCACAAGCCCCTCTTTCACCCCTGCTCAGATCAATTCGTTTTGACTCCGTCTCTTTAAATCTAAATGAGGAGCTTCACACTCCGCCCCCCTCCYGCTTCCAGAGCGGTCTATTCCAGTTTGATAGAGGGCTTTACGAGACAAAATAAATATAGCTACGCAGCACGTAAATTCAACTTTTCTGCACTCCTAGAGATTCCAAGTACACAACTAGATCTATTTATTGGCTAAAAAAGTGGATTTTGTATTATTTTATTACACTTGTATGATATGCATAATATGAGGACAAAATAAGATTTTAAAAGCAGTAAAAAAAAAAAAAAAAACCAACGCAAAACCAAGAATAACTCTTTACGCAACTTTGTTCCTATCGTTCTTTGTAAGGAGCTGTTCAAATGATTTGAATTGTTTGCTCACGTCACATCACTAATTCTGACTGAATCAGCAACTAACAGCTGGTCCAAACTTTCCAGGTGAGTTATTTTTTTGTTTATAGGCTTTCCACAAAATTTTACCAAAAAAATAAAAAATAAAATAAAAAAYCTGAACTATCCCTTTAGCATCATTTTGGCAGTTGCCTGACATGATTGAGCTTTCTTGTTTTTATGTAACAGCTTAATGTATTTTTGATACAGACATCAGGAACACGATGTTAGGACTGTTTAGTTTAATGGTGCGCTGCAAATGAATAAAAGATGTTTATCGTTTATGACACATGTGTTTCCTGTCATGTTTCAAGTTCTCTTCCAAATTTGGTTGTGTTTAGAGCCCCCCCACCCCAAGGAAACCACATTGACCCGAACCAATATTTATCATGTATTTTGTGTCTCAGATGACGGATAAAAATACAATAAAGTATTATTATATTTGAGCCGTTTCCTATCATCCAGGCCAATGTTTTTTTTTTTTTTTTGTTCCCAGGAGTTCTTCTCTGTTATTTTTAGGTTGGGAAAAGCTCATCTGCTGCTCCCTAGGTGAGAAACCCAGCCCATGTGATCCCATCAAGCTGTCTCTTTTCATTCCTTTGTCTTAACTCCTTCAAGTCATCACATCCTCTCCGACTGACTTCACTGTCAGGTATTTCGATTAATTTCCAATTTAAAACAGCCGTGCCATCAACAAATGAGGATCTGTCTATGCATTTAGAAAACAGGACAAATATGTTGTAGAGTAGCTGATTTACAAAGTCAGTGTGAAATAAAACAAAGCAGAAAGGAGAAGTTARCACCTGTCTAACCTGAATGGCTGGAATGCTGACAAGTAAGGTCTCCTATCATTACCAGGCCAGCATGTTATTCTGAATCACTACACAAGTCAAGCCTTTTGAAAATACGTGACAAGAATATGTTGATAAAATCTCCACAAAGCCAACTGTATTACATGAATGGACATTTTAAATACAATGAAGACTTTACAGAGTTTGCTGTAGTTTATTTTACCAAAAATAAAAACAAACTCGTTTTTTTTTGTCTTAACAGACAAAAATACACAAACAGAAACCTACCTTGGGTTTAAAAATATAAAAACAATTTCATTTGGGGGCGTTCAAAGCAGCGTTTTTTGTACTTTAGCAGTGCGCATGCGCCTGCTATAACACGGTTGCCTTCAAGTGCTTCTTGTAAACTTGTAATTTCTACTTTTCAACGCTAATATGTGTTAATCCAAGATAGCYATTGTAGCTTTTCATAATATGAAATTCTTCTCAAAATTTTAATTGCATGCCTATTATTTTTGTATGCATTTTCTGTGCCAGGACAGAACAGTTAGAAGTACACAATATACAACAAATTACAAACAATGTAGTTTCAATTTTTACTCAAACAAAAATAGAACAGTCAAACTAAAACACAGCTATAACTGTTGTTATTCTTGTTTTAAAAAAAACTGTGAAAGGTACAGTTCAAACAGGTTTTTAAAACGTAGAAGGTTACACTTCACGCTGATTGGGGGGGTGAGCAATTCACGTGACCATCTGCGGAACTCAAATTTCCTTACTGCACTTGAATCCATCACGAACAGCAACGCTTTTCCCAGGCAGCGCAGCGGTGGAGCGGGTAGACCGGAGTTCAACACGCCACAACCATGACCCTGTTTGGAGTCCAAGTTCGGTTCTTACTACTGCTGAAGTCTACAGCCTGATACGGATAAGAACGGATATAGTCGCTGTTAAGTTGCCATAAAAAAAAAGCTTTAAAGTGAGTTTTTGTTGCAAGCGTTCTTTGGACACGCTTCGTGAGTGGGACCGTGGAGGCTATAATGACATCTTAAACYATAATTAAACTGCAGGGATGTTAGGAAAATGACGAGAACAATACAACGGAGAGGAATAATTTCTAAGCCGACAGGTATGGCTTGATTTTTTTTTTCACCCAGAAGGAGCGGTGGGACAAAACTGTCGGGAGGCACTCATGTTTCTGTGGAAGAGAAGGAAAGTTTGCTGCGCGTTCGGATCAAACGAGTCTGTTTCCTGAGACTTTCTGCCCTGAACTCTTTCTTCTGATACAGAGCCCGCACAGTTCGGTGTCGGCGAACCGAACTCCTCACAACAATGTCCAAAGCTGTGCAAAAGAAGACCCACTGGACCTCCAGAGTGAACGAGTGCGCCGTGAGTAAGGACACCCGCGGGGACCTGAACGTGTCTCTGCGCGGCGGCGCTGAGCACGGAGAGTTCGCTTATATCGGACAAATTAACGAGAGGCTGGTGTCGTACCAATATGGACAATTAGGGGAAGGGGACCTCCTGCTCGAGGTGGAGACCCTGTCGATTTCAGGATTACCTCTGTACGACGTGGAGACGGTGATAAAGAACTGCAAAAGTCCAGTGAGGTTGAAAACTGTGAGGCCAGGTAAGTTCATCAGGAAGCAGGAGGCGGTGGCATTCGCCGAACTCCCTTGAACTTTTTAYCTTTTTATGTTTCTTCGTATAAGAAGTTATTAAAGTGGGTGAAAATTTTGGTCAAGTATCATATTTATTACCAGTGCTTAATACGGCTTACTTACAATACACTTTCCTWCTAAAGCTTATTTAATTAAAGACTTTACACATTAATTATAAACTGTCCAGAGGAATATTATTTCTCACACTTTAGAGGAGCAAAAACCTGACATTTACACTTTCCAAAAAGCAAAGCTACATTCAGTCTACAGCTTTTTTAATTTGACAAGTGAGTTTGATCAGACTATGGGGGAAAATGCCACCTGTAGAGTCTAAAGGAGGAAAGGGAAATAACCAAAGTTCACATAGTCATTGTTTTTATTAAGCTTTTCCTTTTGTTCTCTTCTTCCCAAGCTTTTTACCAGACGGAAACTGATAGGCAATGTCGCAAACAGTGTGTAAGACAAAATATACAGAGAACAATAAACAATCAGCACCTGAAATAACCATCCTGAGGGATGCCATCCCGTAAATAGTTTGGTGATTCTTCAACTCCAGTGGGGATGCCTGGTTGAATTTCAGCTCATTCTTGTTGAAAAAGCCAGACATCATATGAAGTACATGCAGCAGCTTCAAAACTGGCTACTCCCTTCCTAAACAGACCTGACTGGCAACATTTCTCCACCGTCAAACAGGGATGGAACCAGTGTGGCTAGTCGGGCTAGTTCATGGTCATACTAAATCACCATTTCAGGGGGAGTTTGACATTGAGCCACTGTGACAGGCTCCCAGCATGGCAACACAGCCTGCTGAAAGGATGCTCAGAGCCAGCCTGAGCCTCACTGACKTCCTATAAAGACGGGGAAAAAAGAGCAAATATCCTTCAAGGACGATTGCACATTTTTGCAACCTGTGAATGCTGGCAGCGGTTTTTACCAAGCCATGTTGACATCCCTTAGCTTAAAGACGGTGTCATGATGGGATTTGTTTTGTTTGTAAAGTGAGGGGAAAAAAATGTATTGATGTCTGAACATTTTTAAATGGGAATAGAGAGTAGCCTGAGTAATACACAGTAGAAGTCTAGCTTTGCTGCCAACATCAACGACCTTKGCCATCTCTACATTAGTCTAAAACAGTGTTTCCCAAAGTTGGGGTCAGGACCCCTGAAAGATCAAGGTGGGGTCCTGAAAAGATTTTCTGAATTAATTACATTTTTGCCTAAGTTGTTACAAGGGAGTGSTGTTAGTGTATTTAAAATGGATAAATGTAGTATAAAAATATTGTTACTATGCCCATGTTTAGTTGACCTGATACAAATGTTTATCATCCAGAAATAGTTGGGGGCACAGGTCTCTGCTACTGTTATTTYGTGGGTCAAAAGCTGAAAAGTTTGGGAACCACTGCACTTTGGTTCCCAAAGTTGGGCTTGGGACCCAAATATGGGTCATAAAGCACCTTGGATAATCTCCAGAAATCAATTTAAAGGGTAATAAAATAGTTGCTGATGTAATATTTTCCCTATAATTATTACAAAAACACAAAATAAGTATAAATAAGTATTTATATTTGTGTACAAACTGTTTAGATTGCCAAAAAGCCTGTGTTTTTAGGGTTATTAACAAAGTTTGTGTACTCAGACCAGTAATATTTGGGGTCACAAGTTTTTACCATGGATATTTTGTGGGTCAGAAGATAAAAAGTTTGGGAACCACTGGTCTAGAATAGTGCTGATGTGTTGTGTGATCTGGCACTGGTGTTTTAAATAGAGAATACACAGGCAGCTACTGTACTAACGKTGCTTGCAAATAGAGATGGGCATTTTCAGTAAAACCACTTTTAGGATTTGCCATAAATATTAGACCCAATCCCAGCCTCCTATCACTTCTTGTACCATCTGTACTGCTTCTCCCATCCAACTTGTATTCCTTCAATTTCACTGGTCCAATGAATCAACGTAGAGGACTCATGCAGATTGTCTAGCAGGAAAGCTGCGCTCCCCATTGACCGTAGTTTACACTTTATAATCCCTTCAAAATAAACCATGATAGGAGAAATAGATCCATGGATGCAACAAGTTGTTGTTTTCAGAATGGGAGCAGGTGGTGGGTGTTGCGTTGTAAAAACACACTCCAAAAGGTAAAGCATTGTTAGGGAAACAACTTGGAGTGTTAAAACTGCTGGTGTAAGGTGGGAATAAAAGACAGTCATGATGGTCCGATTTAATTCACTCCAGACTTTGAAAATTCAAAAATCACCAGAGGTTTATAGTAGCCAAGTACATTTACTTTGTTACAGTACTTAAGTAGTTTTTTTGAGGATTTGTAATTTTACCAATTATTTTTTTAATTGCTACTTTAACTTTTATTTTGTTTACGTTTTAAATCTAAAATGATACTTTTATTTCTTTAAAATTTAACACCTAGTTACAAAATGAAATGTGTTTGAACTCATCAGTAAGAAGATGTTTATGCGCTCTAAAAAATTGAAGYGTTAAATTTACTCAACAAAGTCATGTTAGCTGGCTCCACCTAGTTGAGTAAATTGAGCAAAGATTATACATATATTGCACAATTTACTCAACCTGGTTTAGTGGAACCAGTTTGGTTCAGTAAATTTAACAGTTTATTTTGTTATAGTGTGTAAAAGTACTTTTAATTGTACTTTCCCAATTTTTGCGAACAGTTTTCTGACTCTTACTTGAGTTGTTTTCTCATCAGTGAAATTAAGTTTCACCAACGTCATTTTCTGTTCATGTAATTTTACTTTAACTTAGTTTTTTTTTTCAAGTACTTTATAGACCTCTGAAAATCACAGCCCGTTCCTGCAAAACACTAGCCTGGTAAAAACCAGACCCCTTGTCCTTCACTTTGCTTCGTACGAGGGTCTGGACTCGCTGCTATAGAGAAGCGATTCTTGCTGGAGGCGTGGCCTCTGCTGAAGTGTCACTGTGAAGGACGCTAAGCTAAGAAGCTAACCAGAAATCGCATGTGCTGTAAACAACCCTACTGGGAGGACAAAAAGAACCGAGCCGAACGAGACGACTGTAAATAAGAGCTGCTGCTTTGTCAGACAAATTTATTTTATTTTGGAAGCCTTATCAACACAGACTGGCTTCATTCACTTCCTCCACTGCCGTATGCTAAAATAACTAGCAGACACTGCGCAGAACATCGACATCGTAAAAAACTCCGCCTTCTGTTTGCTGATTGGCCCAGGTAAAATAAACTACAAGCTGACACTGCACAGAAAATCGACGTTCTGTTCTCTGATTGGTTCGGCTAAAATCTGCCAGCGAAATCCGTCTCAATGGGAGAAATCCCAGACGCAGCAGCGAAGGGAAACTAGAATTGAGCAGAACTGCGTAGGAAGGCAAGGGCCAGGCTAACAA